GAATCCACAGCAGTGTCAAGTCCTCCCACAGGTAGTCGCAGTGCAAGACACAGCCGAATAATCTGTCTGAAGTAAGGCTGAGAGAAAGTCTCTGAAGCACAAATGTTGTGAATTTATGGTCCATGTTGCAGCTAGTCAGCCAAATGGCACACCAGTCACCCAGCTGTGGTGCGTTTTCATTTAATCCAGAGGAATTCTAAATGTCCGTGGTGAGAAGCTGGCTAAAGGTCACTGGATGGGGCACAGGCTCTGCTCAGTTGTTGGTCAGAAAAGGTTCCAGTGATCAACACATGTTGTGTTCTGAGCCGCCTGGTTCTTGGTGGTTGGCAGGAAGAGTTATCTCCCTGAGAATCTCCTTGAGGCCACGGGGAAGCATGTGATGTGACATAACCACTGCTAACTTTATCCAAGTAGGGCCTCCTGTGGCACCCATCTTTGACTAACCACAGGCCGCTTTTTGATTAACTACTTAAATCTTCAGCTTGTTTTTAATTTTATCCAGACAAACTGTCCCTCGGTCCAGTCAGTAACTACTACAACTGAGGAAAATGAATAACCTTGGGCTCTATAGAGAGGAAACACTTGGGAGAACTTTCAAATTCAATAAATCTTCTTGTCCCCATCAAAAAAACAGAGAAAGATATGAAAACTCTGCCAAAGCAGACAGTTTTTCTCCTGCGTAATCAAAACTGTTATACAGAGAGTAAATATGAGCCTCATAACAATGAGTCAGTAAACATTGATCTTATGGAGCCTGTTCTAAAAATTCTCTGCTGCAACTCAACCAAATTTGAGCAGCAGAAAAAAAGGACAACAAAATTCTGCATCTGTTTTAGTAACAGTGGCCCGACCACAACTGCTAAACCTGGAGGCCGGTTGCATTGAACCACATGATCCGGATGGTCCTGGTGCAGATGCCTTTGGCTTTGACGAATTACTGGATCCAGGTTTCTGCAGTCGTTTTCTGTTCAAATATTATAATTTATTTGAATATTTCAACAAAGGAAATATTGAGTAGACTGAATGTGAAGTATGCTTTAAACTGCTTGGATGCATCTTCCCTAAAAATAATAAATTCAGTTAGTAAAAATCTCACAATCAAAATGTTTCATGTAAAAAACTGTGCTGCACATTTTGTACCGAAACCTGTGCACGAACTTGTTAATTTTGGTGTTTATTCTCATACACAGACATGAACTGAATCACGTGGCCCATATTAAAAATATACAAGGAAACACAAGTATAAAATAGGTCTATTTTTTAAACAGCCATATATAGTTTAATGTTAAGAATGACCCAAGAAAATGTTTAAAAAAATAAACATTCAGGGAATTCAAAGAATATATGAATTCTTACATTAATACTCTTTATCAGTTAGTTAGATTGACATTACTAACCTCCATTATTAATGGTTAAACTCATGTTATGATCAATATATAACTTATAGAGGTAATTTTATGTAACTTGGATGAATGAATGCATTAATAACCATATAATCAGACTCAGATTAATACATCAAATAATTACATCAAAACAACCAATGACTGCATCTTACACATACATGTTTGCTAGTTTGCAAAGAAACTCTAAAGACATGTGCAGTGATTTACTGAAATGTGCAAATCTACATGGGAATACAGTATGTAAGGTAAAAACAGACTTTGTGCAATGCTAATGAGCTTAAAGGTCAATTATTGACATGACCACCTATATTCTTGCATACAGCCTGAACTGTCTCAGGCAGCTTTCTGTAACTTTCTTCTGTAGTCTTCAGGAATAGTTCCCCAGACTTCTGCAAAGACATTCAAAGCGTATCTCTGGCTGTTTCTGTCTTTTGTTCTCTTTTAAGATGACACAGAGCCTCAGTAATATTGATATCCAGCCTATGTGGAGGCCAATCCATGACTGGTTCCACTGTGTCTTTTAACTATCATGCTGAAAAATTAAGCCAATCAGATGCTTTCCAGATGATATTACATGGTGGATCAAAATACTTTTTTTATTTTCATAATTCTATCAAACCATGGCGAAGCCTCTGCTGTGATTTGCAGATGGCTCTAGCCTCACTGTGTCGCTCTGCTGACTCCCTCTTCACATGCTCACAATTTGAACCAAGAATTTCAAATGGGGATTTATCACTCCACAAGAAACTGATTTTCAGCACAGCGCTTGTGTTATTGGCATAACCTTTTTTTCCTGTTTCCCTTCCTTAAAAATGGCTTCTTGACAGCCACACTTCCACTGAGATTGTTTCTGATCACGCTTCAGTGAACATCGGGTCCAGGAAATGACTTTCAGATGTGGATCGTCTACTGTAGACTTTTTTTCTCTTTTTTTTCCTTTTTTTTTTTTAGGTCAGCCAGTCCTTTTTTTGTCCTCCAGCTGATCACAACACCCACATCAGCTTGTACTGTACAGATCATCCAGCCATCTTGTATAGGCCCTCAGTTGCTGTACATCTGCTAGCCACTTTGCAACCCACCTCCAATGCAGCTCTTTGTTGCTGCTTTCTCCACCTCTACCCTTTCCTGGAAGGGCAAGCAGGTCCCAAGACAGCACTTCAATCAAATATAAATTTGTGAAAATCAAAATCTCTAATTGTCCTGATTAAGACAAAAAATACTATAGCAGTTAACTGTTAAAATATAATTAATAAATCTTACCAAATATCAGACAGAGAAGGGCTCTTCTGGTCTGAATTTAGATTAGAATCATCAGTTGTTTACATGAAATCAGTCTCTGACCATCAAGTATTTGGCTGTTGTTATTTGGATATTTGATTTTGGCTCAGGCTAAAAACAGTGCAGATGACAGTGTGCAGGACATCGCCTCTCATGTGACCTCAACACTAACCTTAGCACATGTCTTCTAAACCCTTAAAAGGTTTATGATAAATAGAGGTGACAAGCAAAATGTGCCTGAAGTGGTGGCCTAGTTTCTATATTATAACAGATTCTACCAATCAATGTCAAAGAGACACGAGTATTAAGTTTAAAAGATAAAAGGAATTGTGAAAGTCAACAAAATATTGTATTTAATGGGGGGAAAGTACTGAAAGACAAAGTCTGGAAGCAGTGGTCTGCAGACCAATTTTTCCACCATCATTTCCTCAAAGTTATGAAGAAGTACAGTCCACAGAGGGCCTAAGCCAACGAGCCCAACATCAGAGCTATTTTCGCAGCACAAGCAGGACGACACAATATTAGGTAAGAGTCAATATTGCGCCTACCTGTGTCCTGACCACGAGGCCAACGGGAGCTCGGGAGAATTTGAGTGTGTAAAGCAACCAAAGGTGGTTACATTTCTGGTGAGGACTGTCTCTGTAGTTCAAAGAGATGAAAAATAAATGAGGCTGCAGACAGTCAAGATTGAAGTGGCTGAATAAGCCTGGTCATCCATCCAAGCAGTTAGTCCTAGCTGCCCAACTTACTCTTTTTCTAACTGAACCACTGTTGCCGATTGGTTAAAAGACTTGAAGCTTAATCGCTCGTTCCCTCCCCTCCATTCATCAGCAGATCAAGCACCAAAAGCAAATCAAGATTAAGGAACAGATCTCCTCTCTTTTGAACAATGCTCTTGAGGCCAGACATGATTTCCTCCTTTTTTCGCCATGAAAGCGAAAGAGACTTTGAAACAGTGGCCTAAGTCTTTGAGATAATTATTGAAGATTTAAAGCTGGGGGCAGCCACACACAATAACCTCCTTACCCTCTCCATCCAGCGCACACACATGCACTTACACACACACACACACACGTTCCCCTCACAGTGCCTCGGTCTTCACTGCGGGTTAAAAAACAAGTTCATGCACCATGTTATAATCAGCTCAGACAAGACTGAATATGTGGGATTTTTTCTGTTCTTTTTTTTTTTTTCCAAATGGAGTAAAGACAGAGGAGCAGCCATAACAACAAATTAAGCTTGTGAAACCACAAAGAAGAGCCCAACGGCTCCCTGTGAGCTTACACGGTTGTGTAAATGACTTACATTCATTTTGGCTCATTATTCTCTTCCTATGAGGGCCCACTTGTGTAACAAGGGCAGGATTTTCATATATTTCATATGCATAAATAGGCTCGGACGAGGTCAGTGTCATTTTAGAATTAGGTAAATGGTTCTCTGGAACTATATCGCTGCTGTACAGCTTCACACAGCAGGGCAGCAGCCTCCCCCTGGCTTTGACCTGGACAAACTCCTTACATTAGAACACTGTATGTTGTTCTACAGCCAAACAACCTGATGTGTGTGTGTGTGTGTGTGTGTGTGGGGGGGGGGGGGGGGGTAACCTAATCTAACCTCATCTCCGGCTTTGGAAATTGTGTGGTGACCCAACAGGGGATGTTTTTCTTCATTACTAATTTAAAGGATGGATATTTGTAAATATTTGTAAACCTAATTCATTCATTCTTCGGTGACTCAGGTGAAGCACAAACTGTCCTCCAGTGGAGAAACACATAGCCTAAAGAATTTGAGGACTTACCGAGGGTTGCGTTATTTTTACGACTCCCTCTTTCCTTTCCTCCACATTTAATTCGGATGAAAACCTTCGCGTCACAGGGATGAATCATGCACTCTCATATCTCAGATATGCTACAAATAAGTCATAAATGTTTTCCCCACTGCGGCAATAAATCCCGATAAAATCCGTAGTCATCATTGACGAGAGTAAAACTACGCAGTGTTTGTTCACCAAACAGCAGAAAACAAGAAAGAACTGACACGGGGGGGGGTCGTGTGTAATTCACGGTAGAGTCAAAGGTCGAGGCGGAATACGGTGCAGCACAACAAGCCCGAGCGCGTCACGGGTGCGCGTCTGTGGCTGCGTCTGCACGGGTGCACCTGTTAACAGCGAACCCAAACTCCGCGGCACAAAGTCTGAGCTCTGCGCGTCACGGAGCTGCTGGAAATATCACACCCTGCCAGCTGGCGTGAAATTGGAGTGTGACCAGGAACCAGTACGAAAACAAAACTGGGCCGATATTAAAGCGGGGCTGTACTTACACTGCTGTTCTGTCCGGACCAGTAGACCACCGCGTGGTTATGCGCAGAGTCTCCAGTCAGAGCGAAAGTGCTGCTGGTGAGCTTGGGCTCATCCTGGCGGGTATTTCCTCTCCCTTCGTCCCTGTTCCACCTGAATTCGGACCTGCCTTGTTTGTGCGCGTCTAACATAGAACCCCGCTCATCCGGAGAGCCCACATCCACGCCGGCCCCTCCGGTCCACCCATTCTCGCTGAACTCGGCAAACTCATGACCGCTTCTCTTTGCTCTCCGGAGCGCAGAGTCCTCAGCCGTCTCTCGCTTATCATTGTTGCTTCGACTTTCTTCACTGGACCCGGGTGCACCTTCCTGCGTACTAACTCCATCCAAACTGGCATCTTGGGGGAACTGGGGGGCACCCTCGGCAGAAATCCCCGCCTCACGGTCGCCGTCCATTTCAGTATCCTGGTCGGTAACTCCGAGTTCCTTAAACTCTACTCGGATGTTTTTTAGGGTGGCAAGCTCCTCTGTCGGGTCGGCGCGTATCCCCAGCTGTAATTTCTCCTGGTGAAGTTGAACTGGCGTCGGGCAAGATGCGCAACTTATCTCCGCCTTGGCATTTTGTAGGGTATGAGCGGCTATCATCACCCAGATACCCAGAGATAAGTGCATGCCTGGGCAGAAGCCAGCCCAAGTCTCCATCGCTGACAGAGATTTTTGGGGGGTGAAGGACGGTTGGAGACCTTATCCGACACCTTAACTCCTTTGTCTCAGGTCGATGTGGAATAACTGACGCTTGGCTGTCCGTCTACTCGTCTGGAGGAAAGAAAAGTGCTCTTCAGCGAAACTGTTCACGTCCAAGGATCTTTGGTCGGGAAAGCCACCACACAGGAGAGAGGAGGAGCTGTATCGCAGCCAGCTGCCGAGTGTGCGCCCGGAAGAGAGAGAGAGAGAGAGAGAGAGAGAGAGAGAGAGAGAGAGAGAGAGAGAGAGAGAGAGAGAGAGAGAGTTGGGCGCTGTCCGTGGTGCTGAGTCTCCTCCAGCTCTTTGAAGTTGTTTAGATGTGAGAAATACAACATGGTCATTGTATGCCACCTACCATAAATGATCACACGTCTTATATATCATATAGTTGCCATGGCGTCAGTAAAATTGGCCTTTTTTTACTCTTAGTGGTCTTGTACACTCTGGATTTCTTTCAGATCACCACACCGTGCCTACAGATATAGTTCCGCTCAGTTAGTTACAGTTTCATGAATTGATGAACCTCTAAACGCTCAACCCCCCCCCCCCCCCCCCCCCCCCTGCTCCTCCCCTTCCCCCCACACACACTCACACACACACTTGGCTCTGTGTGACGTCACTCAGGAGAGATATCGCTCATATGGTCAACTCATATACACAGCTTTTTAAGTGGGAACACACACACTCAGCAGCTGTTCAAATATTCTGTTTTCAAGTCACAGCCAATTACAAGAAAGACGGCTTTAAAGAGCAGGAAAAACAGCTTGTTTCAGACAGAGGAATAACTAAGGAGCTGCACCTTTGTCCACTTTAAGATAAATCTGTATTGCTTTCAGCTTTAAGCATGCAGAGCTAATGTGGGAGAGTCCTAAAACAAAAATGCAGACCAGAAAATGAAGTCATTTTGAAACTTTGCTGTCACTTTGCTACTATTGTTCTCATTATTCTGACTATTACTTTTTAAAGAGGTGAAATTAGACTTTATCCTGATTTTACACGGACACAGCTAACCAGTCAGCAGCACTCACTGGCTTCTCATTTCCCATGCTTGTGTTGTATGTCCCTACTCAGCATGCCAATCTGTCTCTGTCTCAACAACATGAAAAATGAAAAAAGAATGAAAAAGAGGCAGGTCAGTCTGATGGCAGTGTGTGTGTGTGTGTGTGTGTGTGTGTGTGTGTGTGTGTGTGTGTGTGTGTGTGGGTAGAGTGGGGGGAGAACACTCACTGATGGATTGGGATGAATTGGCAGGGAGTTGCACCACTTCTTGGGGGGAAATAAGGCAGTGCCTAGAGGCATGTGAGAATGAGAGGAGGGAGGGGAGCGCTGGGATACTGTGCTACCGCCTTCTGCGCATCAAGGACTCAGAGCACAGATGAAACTGTGATAAAAAAATAGTGCTGGGAAACTGTGGGGGGGGGAGTTTTTCTGATGGAGCGTGTTTTGTAGAGGGTGTGTGCCTAAGTGCAGCACGGTTATTCATTAACAATCCAGCATGTTGTGTCCTTGTCTATCATCTTGACTGCCCACAAATTGCCCATCAGGGAAAACTCAGGGGACTCTGCCTGAATTTCAACAAATTCCCAATCATATCAGTGTGAGGAAGACAGCAGCAGAGGAAGGAGATGCATCACATTGTGTGAAAAAAGTATGATCTGGAAGGAACCAGTGCAGGATTCATAGTAAGGAGTAATGCGAATCTTTCGCATTGCCGCAGAGCTCGTGTGTACATTTAATCTAAGGAGTATGAAGCAACTCAGCTGTCGGTGTAGATTAAAATAGCTACATTTTATACATTTACAGATGCGGATGACAATTTGAATGAGAATTTGTTAAGATGTGAACCCTACAGAGAATAATCAGCTGAATCTGAACCAGACTTTGCTTTTACATCTGTGCCTCGTGCCGCAGGAGCAAATGAACAAATGCTGGATTTTAATACAGGAGACCCCTCACGTTCTGTTTACGCTGATCAAAGTCAATGTCTCGTTTAGCCATTACTGTCCCACATCCTCAGCCACCCTCTATGGTTAACTGGGTCAGCACAGATTGCAATTTTTTAACCAAAAACCTGATTCCACTGCCAGCTATGTTTGGACTGTATGCAGGACTCCAGGCATTTGTATAGTGTCTACTTTTACTATCTTCCTGAAATCCCAGGAGTTTAGGTTTAAGCTCAGTTGGCTCATTTGTGTCCAACATGTTCTTGTCCCACAGCATCAGATCCCGTCACACACGAGTCAGGTGTTCTTTGATGTCGGTGCCTTGACCCACCTGCCATGGCGATTTTAGCTGCTGACAGACAGCGGTCCTGTTTGAAAAGCAAACAAGGGCAATTTTGGAGGCTGGATAGATGTTTGCAGAGTAAGAGGCAGGTCACCTTCACTCACTGCTTGGTTAATTCGGAGCAATGACTTCAGTGGTTTTTAAATTGAGACAATATGTAAGGTACTCGCATTTTATGGCTTTCTGTGCCATTCATACTTTTCTTTTATGAAAGCTGGCTCAGCACATGAATATGTACTGGATACTGTCCTGCCATGGATGCCATCTGCTCACTGAAAATGAAAATATCTTGCTTGTACATGAATTTGAAGGATTTTTGTGTGTTTGTTTTGTTGAATTTTTGTTTTTAACTTTTTTGCATTGAGGAAAAAATGATTCTCCGTCATTCAGGGAGCGTTTTATGTCTTTAAAAACCCTCCAAAGATTAAAGCTGATAAACAAGGTCCTGGCTTGCTGTTGGAGCTGTTCTATCAGCTGTTTGAGAAATGCTCTGGAAAATTCTTTTCATATAATCTTTTCATTGCAATACCACAAAAGCCCACAGTCACATCTACAGCATGCACAAAGTCTGCAGAGAGCTGGTAAAGACACTGGAGCATTCTCAGCTAATAAGCAGGATTTATTTCCGCAGGAGTTACTTGCTGTTCTCAGTACACGTCTGTTTTATCGTATGCATTGTTCAGTATTGTTCCCTCCAAATTATCCAAAATACTTTGACAGTGTGGCATTTTTGAGCTTTATGCTTTTTTTGCTTCCTTGCCTAGTGTCAGACTGAGCTGTCATGGTGCTCATTATTACGCTACAGATGCTATAGATATTAAGATTCGCTTAGCTTATACTTTATACTGATCCAAACAGACAGTTGGCCTTGATTTTTTGTATAGATGAAGGCAAAAATGTATGTTCAGCTACATTTTATTACCTCAGGCCACCTGAGTTGGGCCTAGTTCCCCCCCGAGTCTATATACATGCTCAGCTAACTGATTTCTCACACGAACTATATATTTGTCAAACATTTAGAACTTTTATATCAATCTCCTTTTTTTAACTCTAGGCAAGAACCTGAATTTATGTATTTGGTAAAAGATCAGAAGGTAAAGTGTGTGTGAAGCACCGCCCTCCAGGCCACGTTCTCGACTCCTGCCTTACAAGGACTTTGTTAAACCGACCATCTCCGAAGAAAAGCTCCAAGCAGCTCCGATCAACTCTGTAACGGGGACCAGTTGCCAAGACTGAATTATTTCAGAGGGACATGTAATGAGATTTTAATGAAAGTGAATGAAACTTCTCATCTCTTCTGATGCTGCCATTCATCAATTACCATGGCTTACTAATGGAGTGGAAATTATTAATCCCTTTTAACAATAAATCAAATGGAATTTTTCAAATCAATCAAACATCCAAGTAAGATGTATTTTGTATCTTGAAGGAGCAAAAAGGAGCAGCGTCCATTTTATGTCCTAGAGAAGTGTCTTTGTGAACACACCGACGGGAGACCACCCTTTATGAAAAGCAAGTGTCCTTGAGAATGACACTCACGTCCTCTCTGAACCAGGGCTGCAGATCTGTAGCCGGTCCTTCTTTTTGTCCTCCCTGCAGCCAAGCAGCTAAAAATCTTCATCATCTAATTTAAAAAGCATTGAATGTCACTTTTTTAAGCATCTTTATGTACTGTAGGAGTTTGTGGGTGTAAACTAAACAAAATCTTTGAAAAATAAGACAGAAAATAGCGACACTCAGGTGTTCGTGCACTTTGAGGTTTATCGATCACATTTCAAGACTTTGCATTGGGCTGCTATTGTTAGGATGCCTGGGTCATTGACCCAGGGTTTTGAGTTTATTGTATTATTTATCATTTCTATTCTTTGGTTTCTTCGTTAGAGTTCTGTCTTATGGTTTATGTCTCTGTGTAATCCTTAGTTGCTTTATCCCCGTGTCCAGTCAGTGTCTGTCTGCCCTGATCCCATGTCTTTGTTCCCTCTGTTGCAGTGCCTGCATGTGAGTCTGTGTCTTTAGTTCAGTCTGTGTTATGTTTCCTGTTTTATTTTGAAGGTCCATGTCTGATGTTAATGTATCTGGTTTTGCTTCCTTTGTCTCCTTAGGCTTGATTTGCCCCAGCTGTGTTTCCCTCCTGTTACCCATTCCCTGATTGCTCCCTCTGTGTATTTAAGCCCTGTGTTTCTCTGTGTCCGTGTTGTGATCTACCCTTATCTAGCTGTGTGGTCTGTCTGTGTGAGTGTATTTTCTATTCCTAGTTTTGTTGCCCTTCTGAGTTCAGCATTGAAGCTGTTTTGAGTTCACGTCTGTCTCCAGAGTCTGCATTTTGGGTCCTTCATATCACCACTCCTGCCTGCACACAGCCGTCATATAACAGCTATGCCCATGCTACTGTGTAACATTATAAAACACTGTTCATTTACATACCATGTTGCTGTAAATCATGTGCATATAAAAACACCATGCATATTTCATTAAATGGATAAAATATATTTTACATAACACCGACTTCCTGTCTCTAGTATCTCATGTGATTACTGTCACAGTTAGACAGACGTATAGCTGCTAACGACACAAAGTGGAAATTGACAGGAAAAAGTTAACAATTACAAATTGATCATTGATACAACATTAGAAAATAACAACAAGAACTCCAAAAGACCTGTTTGTATGTCTCAGGGTGTCGAGACACAGTTAAATACATGTGGCTGAATTGTAGCACTGGGGCTACATTGTTGAAATTATGAAGCCTGTTTGCACCACCAATGTTCAAGACTCATAAAATCAATGTATATATTCAACTTTCAAACAACAATCAAATATTCAGCGCTGATGGCTTTTTATAGTCTGTTTGATTTAATTCAAGGAAGAAGGCA